TCATTTTATCCTGTGATTATCATGCTGTGTCTGACATAGTGCTGTACAGAAGCACTCTTGACTTAGACTGTGAACATATTTATTCTTTTAGAAGTACCTTGCTCGGTTCTTGTTTCCTCCATTTATTTCCTTTAAAATGGGAGTTCTTAGCCTGGTATATCAAGTGTATGTAAGCTTTTACGTGCATGGTATTCATGTGTTTTTTCCAAGGAGAAGATTCATACATTTTTTTTCTTGATACTTAAAAGGGGTCAACAACTGAAAAAAAGTTAAGGAGAATACCCTTATAGTACTTTTTAAAAAAAAAACTGCAAGTTTCATTCCACTAATGGTTCATGGAAGCCATTTCATTTGTTTAGGACCAGTAGTTCAAAAGTTTTTTGTAATGAATAGAATGGATCAAAAAATATAGTAGGCGAAGTAAGGGTATTTTGGGGTTTGTTTGTTAAGTTTTTTATATCGTATGGATGTATATGTGTGTCTATATAGATGGGTAGATAGAAATACATGACTGGGTTCCCAGTGGCTCACAGCTACTCAGGATGCAGAGATCAGGAGGATTGGCTTCGAAGCCAGCATGGGCAAATAGTTCCTCAAGACCCTATCTCAAGGGACCACCAGTTACTGGGTCCTGCTGCATGTCCCCATGCAGTCTTTCTGTTCTCTACAAATAAAATCTTTCTGACCGCTTTAAAAAAAAAAAAAAAGAAAAAGATCCTATCTCAAAAAAATTCATCACAAAAAAGGACTGGTAGAGTGGCTCAAGGTGTAGGCCCTGAGTTCAAGCCACAGTGCTGCAAAATAAGTAAAAAATAAAAAGCATGTACTTTTTGTTGTGATAATTTTTTTTTTTTTTTTGGTGGTGCTAGGGGTTACACACTGGGCCTCACTAGGCACTCTATTACTGAGCTATATCCCTAGCCTCAAATTTTCTTACAGTGAGTCATCATCAAACATTTGAAATGCACTGCTGTAAGGTGGCCCTTTTTGACTCCTCCAGTTGACAGATACTGCTGATGTTTTTTGTTGTGTCCCAACATTCCACTTGCTAAGTTTATTAGAAATGTGGCTAACATGAGAATGAGGTTAGAAGGATTTTTCTTTTCTTTTCAAAATGTTCTCAGAATTAATTATCTCAGGATATTTAAAGGTGAAGGTGAGGCAGAAGTTGACAATGCTACAAGCTTTGTCGTTGTACATGTGAGGAAAAGCTAGTTCTGTGAGTCCTGAAGAGAGAAGCACCAGCAGTGGTTTTCAACCCTGGTGACACATTAGTTTGTTTGGAACTTCTTTAAAAAATTATGATTCCTGCCCCTCCCCAGACCATTGAAATTGAGACTGAGGATTGAGTTCTGCAAGAGCTTTCTTACAGAACAAAACATTTGACCTTTGGTTCTATACCTTGACCACTCTGGGGCCTTTCTTTTGGGTTCTGAGTTGTGGTCCGGAAAGGGAAGTCTGCTGGATTGAACATTCTCCAGAAAGGAGGTCAGTTTCTCTGTAATCACAATAGGAACCCTCAGGTATTTTGAGGTTATTTGCAAAGTGTCTGTTTAGAGTGTTAGAGGTACTTGATTATGAAGATGAAGATGGTTTAGACTTAGGAATATTTATACATTCTTGATTTAATGTCTGTCCTGGAGAAGTAAAAGGTAAATCTGATGATTGAATGTGTCTTATAGAAAGGTAGAGCTTTTCCTCTCCCCGTTTCCTGTCTCCTCTTTCTTTCTTGCTCCTTTCTCTTTTCTTCCCCTTCCCTTTTTTCTTTCACCCTTCTTAATGGTAGAAGAGGGTCCACAGGATGGTGGGAAGGAAGGAAGCTTTCCATTGCCATGTTGTGGGGAGTGTGCCTGTGCTGTAAGGAGCATGGAACTGGTGAGCCAGGATATGGCTGGATGATTATTTATAAGTCCAAATGTTAATCTGTGCCTGGTCACTATTGTTCAGATCCTTGAGAAGGTACAACCTGGTGCTGCAGTTACCTGAATGTGGAATAGGTAACTGCCTAAAACTACAGTGGAATTTAAACCCCTGCTAGCAACCACCTATTATCAGGAATGTCTTTCTGTGTCTCAGAGGAAAGAGGTTTATACTGCAAATATTTGATTTATTCTGTCACATGTAGGGGCATTTAAATCTTTGACTAATGCACATTGAATCCAGAAATAGCAGTAGGCATCCTAGTAGAGGACAAACCTACTAGGAGGTCAAGGCTAGAGTGTACATATCTGAATGATATACGTGAAGAGCAGTGGAAAAGAGAGTGCACTGTCTTTTAATGTTTGCTTATTTTGATTGCTAAGGCTTGTCCTGCTTGGCTCCTTTTGTGATTTGTTTAGCTATGTAGGTGTATTGTTACTGTTGCTGTGTAACAAATGACTCCCTAAAATTCCTAAAACAACCACCATTCATTTGCTTACAGTTCTCTGGGAGAGACATTTAGGCTGAGTTCAGCTTTGTGTACCTGTAACTGGTCTCACACTTAGCATTACTCCTGTGTCTTTAGGCATCTGTTGGCCTTACTGGGGGTAGATGGGTTAGGATGGCCTCACCTATGTGCCTAAGAGTGCAGGCTATAGGGCAGGGCACCTTGGCTCTGCACCTGACCTCTCCAATGGATAATCTCAAGCTCATTCACATCATGAGTACATGATATTTACAAAAAAAAAAAAAAATTTCCTGATACAGAAATGCTTTTCAAACCTCTGCCTCAGTCTCATTTGCTGATGTCTTTTTGATCACATCAAATCAGGTGGACAAGTCCAGATTCAAAGAGTGGGAAAATAAACTGCTTTTTTATAGGAGTGACAAAGCCATACTTCAAAGGGAACATGTATACAGGAATGGAAAATTTTTTTTTTCTGGCCATTTTTGCAAACAATCTTATCACAGTAGGTCAGGAAACCAGAGTGGGAAGGATAGAGTTTAAAGATTTGTTCAGTGGCAGCTCGTGGGATATTGGCTTAATAAAATACTAGGCCCTCTATTTAGTGGATTTATATTACATTTCAACACAAGAGTAATTACATGAGAGCTGGTGGCTTGTACCATCTGCTTTCTTGGTGACGATGTACCCTGTGAGTCAGTTATTCAGTTAACAGTGCTTGTTGGACAGCATCAATGGGCCAGATCCTCTCGTAGGTGGAGAGGGCAACTGGGGTAATACAGCACACAGAACTCAGTATGAATAAAAGTCACAAATAACAAAAGCTTGCACCTTATAAGAGTGGCTTTTGATTTTGCATTTGAGACAGCAGCAGTTTGTTCTCTCTGCAAGAATGCCACAGAGGCAGATTTTTATCAAGAATTTGGCCATTGTGAAGTTTGGTTTTAAAGAGCAACTCGGTGACTAGTTTCTCTGCCACCAGAAAATCTATATATTTTAAAGAATACTGCATTTAAGAAATCACTTTTCTGTTTTACGGAAGGAGAATGCTTCGAGTACCTTTTTGTCCCCTAAAGAAAGCTTACCTTTTGATCAATATGTATTAAAAGAATATTCTGTTTAGTGGTTATATCTCCATATCTATTATTTAACCAATTCTAATGTATTAGAAGCTATTCTGACACATGCCTAGGTGGGCTGGAGTGTGAGGACCATTGGAGGAATGGTTCTTGAGAAAGTCTCATCTGAAGCTAGGAAACGTGAAGTCATCCTTTGTCAGGCCACATTAATTGGGTCCTAATGATAGAATGTCAGAAATGAATGTAAAATAGTGCATGGAAATAGTCTTCTTTTCCATTAACAGTCTTGTCTACTCTTGATTAGGTTATGCTCTGATAGGATGAAAACTTAAATAAAAATGACCTGTTTGTTTTATAGGTTGGGGAAATGTCTTTTAAATTAAAACCATTGAGATCCACGTAAAAACAATTTAGCAGAACATTTCCACTGTTTCTTTGTTTTCTATTTTGTTTAATTTTCATCTCCTTGAATCCTAATGGTGGTAACACTGGAAAAACTCTTGCTCTAAAAATGCTGTTTTTTAGACATGGATGACATTGGAAATGCATGGAAGTTGGAGTTAACTTCTTCCCCTATTCTTATTTCTTTCCTTTATGAACTTTTTGCTTCTAAAAATTTTTATCACATAAATAGTTTGTTGATATCTCCCTCCCCCTACTCTTCTATTTTTATGTTGTTGAAACAAAGGAAAAATGGAGCTGCCAAGATGAGTTCATAGTTACGTGACTTTTGCTTGTGGCATTATAGGAAATGAACTAAACCAGTAGTACTTGAGCTGCCAGGAATTTAAGGTTGAAGTAGAAAGGAAGATAGTGTTCTGGTTTGCAGTGTGGGAAGGTTAGCTAGTGCCTGTTAAAATCCAGCACTGATCCCTTAAATTACATTTAAATTTTACATTAAATGCAAATTCGACATTAAATGTACTTTCAGAAAGTACATTTAAGTTCTGATGTCACAGTACATTAGATAGAATATGAGATTATGCTGTTTGAATCTCCACGGGATAACTGTGTCTGTAATACTGAATTGTATTTTGTCTGAGCCGATGGTAGAGAGTGACAGGTTGTATAAGGGCAGTGCCAAAGTAAGGACCCTCTTGGTAAGGTGTGGGTGTGGATTGGGAGGACAGAAACCTGGGTCACCACGGCCTGAAATGGGATAACTGTGAGAGAAGAAGGAAATTCCGGTTTTAATCAGTATCCGGGAGAACATGGCTCTTGCTTACAAATTAGCAGTAGGTGGTGATGAAATTTTTTGGCAAGTCTGACAAGGGCTGTGGTGAGCTCTTATCTCGAATGATAAATTAATCTGGATTTATTTTGAAAGGTATTTTAAATGTATAAATCTGTGTTTTCCTTTAATGAGCAAAGTGAACTAGCATTATTGACCATCTGTCTCCAGAGATGCAGAGTGTTCATGAAAAGCACTAGAACCAGTGTCAGTTTTAAAGGATGAAACTGTATGACACTAAACTTTAGGATGTTGAAAGATATCCTGTGTAGTCATCTGTGTACTTTACTGTTTTCTTTTACAGACTTACATTGGAAGCGTGGTTATATCTGTTAACCCCTACAGGTCCTTGTCCATTTATTCTCCAGAGAAAGTGGAAGATTACAGAAATAGAAATTTTTATGAACTGAGCCCTCACATGTAAGTACAGTTTTAAAGCACTAAGTTTCTTTTTCTGCGGAGATACAGAGTGACAAATGTGTGCAGCTGCCTTTTTTGAGTCACAGGAAAATTATTTTGTCATTTTTTTTAATCAATTAAGGGAATACAGAAGTTAATAGTTAATGCCTTGTTTTAAGTTTAAAAAAGGGCAGAATACTTGTATGCAAAATATTTTGTTAAAAAAAAAATTCTGGGTAAGTAGCAGCTGTTGCTAATTAGTTTTGCACATAAAATAGGAATGTGCATTGTTTATTATTATTAAGAGCCCCGGCAAGGTTTTCATAGTCTTTTGGGGCCAAGAAAGATCCCAAGTGTTGGGTTGTGTGATGGGTTTGGGTATAAGACCAAACTGTACCTTCAGATTATAATTTTCAAGGACACTGGTAGTGGTGTGCAAAAGGCCACTGATTGACCTTCCCTGAAGTTAGTCACCTGTTTGATTTTTGTGAAGAAGATGGCATGTTTGCATAAACAGTCCACCCACAAAGCTCATACATTCTTTTTTGTTTGCTCTCTGAAGGTGAGTTCTTAAGGCGACATGTTTAAGAGATGCTAAAATGATTCTGTCAATTGATACCACTAGAATTTTGTTTACTAGTCTGAATGACAGAAATAACACTGGGGAAGTTTTCTTAGGTTTGTTGGATCAGTGGCAGAACTGGATTACTGGGTCCTAGAACTTTTGGTTCCTCACATAAAAATGTCTGAAAAAGAAAATAAAATGTTAGAAGAATACCTAGAAGTTACCATAAGCAATACCCTAAACTTTTTATTTCTCAGGTTACATTCCATTCACTGATACCCAAGAGGAATTTGTTCATTATTTACAGCCTCATGTACACCATTGAGTTAAAAGAAGAAAAAGATACGAAGTTGGGCCAAGTTGTGTCATGACTACTGAGGCTCAGTCTTCTCCACTGAGGCAGAAACATTTCCTGCCCCTCCTCTGTGGACAGAGTGTTTTACCAGAATTCATGTTCTTATTATTGTTGCTTTAACTGACCCATGGTGACTTGCAGAGGGTTGTTGGTAGATGAGATACAATGTTTTCATGTGATAAACTGTTGAAACTGTTGAATGGGTTTAAAAATGTTTGAGACTAGCTTCTGAACTCTGGCTGGGACTAAGATACACAGAAGTGCTTTGAGAAGTGTCAAGTGCTCTAAAGCTGTGTTATTTACTGTCAGCACCATTTGTATTACCTTTTAACAATAGCATTGTCCTTTCTCACTGAAAAGAGGTGTTCACTTTCTCTTGATATTGCAGGACAGAGCACCATTTTTGTGCTGTTTGGAACTAAAAATTTAAATAATTTGTGAAAATGATTATTAAAAACTGAGCACTATATGTTTTACCAAACAGTAGGATTCTTAGTATTTAGTTTTCTAAATTTGATCAGTTGACTGCAAGAGATCTAATCTCATTGTAACCCAAGAAAAATAACATATGAAATTGGTTTTATAAAATTTTCCATATAGTTAAACCTTTGCAATGAAATATTTTATTTGATGCCTGAATACTTATTTTAAATTGTAGACCTTAAAGCTATGCTTCTCAAAGTCTAGAGTGACAGTGTCAGAACCATCCAGGGATTTATGAAAAAAGAAAGTCTGCTTTGCTAGGCCTTACCTCTGACAAGTCAGGAACCTGCATTTTCACAGGCTTTCTGAGTGATTCTTACGCACATTCGAGTTTGAGAACATATTATCTTAGATGTATTTTGTGAATGTTTTTCTTTTTTAAACTTTTTACCACAACAGTAATAATAGCTAGTATTTATTGAGTATTTACTATGTGCTGGCACTACCCGAAATTCTTTACAAGCATTATAACTTATTTATTCTCAAAATAATCCTGTGAGGCAGATGCTGTTGTAAATGGGAAAATCGTTACAGAAAGACCAGCTCCTCATTTTATTCCAGGCCAAACAGCTGCAGGGAGTGGAGCCTGGGTGTGAGTCTGCCTGTCCTCTCATTTGGAAATGGGTCCTGCACTATTCATGTCAAAACCACTTTCTTTGAGCTTTCATTTTTGTTACCCTTGGGTTACCTGTGTTCCTGCACCCCATGCTCTCCAGGACAACCATAACTGGGCCTCCATTGTCTATCCCATAAGCCATAATTGCATTTGCAGCTGAGTTCCCACTTACAAGTGTTTAGGTAGATGATCGATGTCTATTCTAGAGTATAGAAAGTTCATGCTTTGTGATATCCATTTTTATCCCTTCACCTGGCTGATTGCTGTGGCGGACAGCATGGGACTGCTACCCTGATGCATACTCCCACCTCTCTGCCCCAAGACAGCGGTCCCCACCAGCAGTAAAGTACAAATTCCCAGTGTGCTGAGGCTAGAGAAAAAGCTTTCTGCCATGGCTCGCAAAACACTGTACCAGGTGTGCAAGTTCACCTTTTTCTCTAATGCATGTGGATTTGTTTGTCGGCCTCAGGTCACACTCCTCCCATCTTGCTTTGCTCTTTCAGTCCTCACCCTCACCACACTTCTACTACCACAGCATTTCTGCTATTTTGGGTATCCTGCCTGCAATGCTTCTCCTTTCCTCTGCCCCAAAGGAACTTTGCTCTTCCTTCAGATTTCAGATGCTATAAGACCTCCTCAGGGAAGAACCTTCCCTCATGTCCTGCCTGCTGAGCCAGGTCTGAAACTCTTGACAGCCTTACCTGCCGCATCAGGTTTTGCTTACATGAAATTAGCAACATCTGGAATATGGAAAAGGATTAGTAAAAATACACTGACCAGGACTTGGGCTCAAGTCTTAGCTCTCTCATTTACAAGCTATGTAACCTTGAGCAAAATACTTAAAGAAGCTACAACTTGTATAAACTGGGAGTGGTGGCACACATCTGTAATACAAGCAGGCTGAGGCAGGAGGCTCACTGGTTTGAGGCCATCATAGGCTACGTGATAAGACCTTGTCTTTTAAAAGTGGAGATAATTATTTGCTCAGGGTTTTTGTTAGGGATATGTATCTAGTTGATATTTAGATAATATCTGTTACTTCATCAACAGTAATACTTAAAATTGTTAAAATAAGATTTGTGGAACACATTTCCAGTATTCCCACATGCTCTTTCCTACCGCTTTCTCCTCCATGGTGGGATATTTTCTACTTCCTTTACTGTATCTTCCTGCGTTATTCTTTGTGAATACCCATTTTTGACAGTATCTTGAAGCAGGGTTATTGCTAGCTTGATTCCATGCTACTGTCCAGCCTGGCATTCTCAGTACTTTTGTAATGTATAAGGCTGTATAGATTTTTTGATGCACCTGAACTGTAACCATTTCCATAGTTTGGTTTCAGTTTGAACAGGAAATTGAAATCGAGACTACTTGCTTAAGTCTAAGCAGCTGTCAGACAATATACTTTGAAAACTTTGCCAATTATCCCAAATTACATTGGGAAGTTAATTTATCTTTTCTTTAAATTTCAGACAATTTAAAGTACTTATATTCATGTAAATATATGACTTTCAGATAGCAGAAATGTGTAAATGAGTGAAATAAAAATAAAATGATTTCCTACCTAAATTGTTTTCAAAAAGTTTTCTGATGTCATTTGTAGGATTTTTGGTCCCCCAAACATCCAGCCTCTTAGAATACTCCTCTTTTGTCTCTGAACTCCTGTCCCCTATATTTGCAGAGCTACACCTGTGAGTCTGGCATTTCCCCAGGGAAATGGGATTTGCTTACACCAGTGTGTTTTTTAAATTCCAGTGTGGTCTTGAAATTCTTTGAAAATAGTTGTTTTTTTTTTTTTTAAATGTATCCCAAGGAGGACTTAGTACATTTCAGATAACTTAGTAGTTGGGTTTGTTAAGAACTGCCTCAGGTTACCAAACATAGATGAGGAAGAATGAGAACGAGAGGAGGGCAGAAATTGGGTTGGCTAGGCTTCCCCGCCCATGCAGTTGAAGTTGTTCTGAGGCATGCACCTGTAGGGATTTTAGTCACCACATCCATTGGCCTTCTTGGGTGGTTGCCTCTTGACCTTGTAGTTGGTGAATCAGTCTGCAATCTTCATGCTGTTCTCTTTCCCAGCAACCTTCAAAGACTCATGATTACTGCCTGACTGAATTCCAAGTTTCTTGGCCTAGTGTTCAAGGTCACCTGCAGTTCAGCTTTAACTCTCTCCAACCTTAGACCTCACTCATGATTTCTTTCATGGAACCAGCTCTTGAGCACAGCCATTCATGTCTTTTCCTTTCTGCATCTTTTGTCCCATACCCTGTGTCCACTGGTAAAATCTGCTTATCTCCTGTCAGAAGGGCTTGTTCAATCCCGTATAACTCACAAGTGACTGTTCCTGCCCCTGAGTGATCAGAACCACTCGTGATCTCACATGCCACCTCACCTTTTCTTTCTGTGGTTAACTGTGATTCAGGGTCATTCTCTTGCATGAGGTACATGCTCCTATTGACTAGGAAATTTATCCTGTTTTCAAGCACTGTTTGAAGCAAGCAGCCTTTCTGTTTTTGTAAATGAAAAACCCATTATTTTTTAAAATTTAGGAAAATGATGACAGACTTTGAAAAAAATTTCTTGTTACTAAAAATGGGAAAGTCATTAGTGGGGGGGGAGTTTGGATGGTATTTTCAAATACTGTTTGAAGCAAGCAGCCTTTCTGTTTTTGTAAATGAAAAACCCACTATTTTTTAAAATTTAGGAAAATGATGACAGACTTTGAAAAAAATTTCTTGTTACTAAAAAATGGGAAAGTCATTAGTGGGGGGAATTTGGATGGTGTTAATGTCAGTTGTCCAGAGGCAAGTCCTCTGTTTCTGGAATCTTCGACCATTAAGTTTGTGCCAAACTGACGTTTTAGGACCCCATGTCATTACCTGTAAAGTGACATTGCTAGAGTGCTGTGTGTTCTGAGTCCTTGTTAATCCTGTTAGCATTTTACTACCTTCAAGGTGAGCCAGATAAATTTTACAAAGAACATTTCTGATTATATCTCAAAA